GACCAAGCGGTTAGGAGTCTGTGATTTGGAACCAACCAAGTGTGGCCTCGAACTCTTGCCACTTCCCGGTTGGTGACCTTGGGCCACTCCCTTCATCAGTCTGAGTCAGAGCTTCATCACATGAGGTGACAATAATAATACACCCAGCTTGCGGTGTTGATGTGAGAACTGAATGCGTTAACAGTGGGCGCTCGTAACACTGAACAAGAAACAGTTGCTACGCTTTGCAAGGGATCAAGCACCATTCACTGAGAGAAGATTATTAAGAGGAGCAGGAACCTCCTCTGATTTTCGTAGAGGGTTTCATAGACCGTCGGAACTGATCACCTCCTTGCACATCAGCTGGTGATGCTTTTTGGACACATTCCAACGTGGTTGGTGCGTCTAGCAAGGCTAGCAAGCCCGCTCTTAGGCAGATCTCTCTGTCTTGGTACCATATTCCTCTGTGTCAGAGACTGGAAATCTGCAGGGTTGGGACAGCCTACGGTCCTTCATGCTCTGGCTCTGGGTGCGGAGAGTTATATGGCTTTGGAGGAGAGGGAGGACCCCCTATTTCCCAGCCTCTCTTATAAGGCTCATTCCCAAAAGGAAGACATACAGATTTGAGTAGGTTGGATTCTAAGACACATATTTATTAGAGAGCATGTTATAGTCTTTCAGAAATCCCCCTGAATCTGTTCTTTCTCTAGCTTCCAGCCTCCGTGGGCATAACTTGATGGCTGGCAGCTCTAGCTATCTGATTATTAGCTTCAGGAGGTAAACCATGACGACCATCCCACCAAGGAACATTTACTCCTGCATTCCTGGGGCTCACTGATTCTTCTTCTTCTTCTTCTTTTTTTTTTTTTTTAATTTTATTATGTTATGTTAGTCACCATAAAATACACCATTAGTTTTTGATGTGGTGACCCACGATCCATTGTTTTTGTTTTTGTTTTTTTAAGATTTTATTTATTTGACAGAGAGCACAAGCAGGGGGAGTGGGAGAGGGAGAAGCAGGTCTCCCACAGAGCAGGGAGCCCGATGTGGGGCT